AAAGGTGCAAAACTACACAGAGAAACCCTGCCCCAAAAAACCAAAAAAAAAAAAAAAAAAGACTATACTGAGGCTAATAGAATAATCTGATCACTGGTGTCACAGCTTCTCATAAGTATCGTATATTCCTTATTTAGGCTGCTGTTATCATTCAATGCTTCTCTGTATTGGTATCTCGAGCACCTATATAAATTTATCAGGTATGATAAAATTTTGTTATTTGGTGTTAAAATGTTCTCCATAGGCTCATGGTTGAACACTTGGTCCCTAGCTGATGACACTGTTTGGCAAAGTTGTAGAACTTTTAGGAAACTGAGCATTTCTAGAGGAAGTGGGTTCCTGGAGGCAACCTTGAAGACCTACAGCCTGGCTTACTTACTGTTCACTCTCTGCTTCCTAGGTGACGATGCAATGTGACCAGTCAGGTGGCTGTTCCTTCTGACTTAAATTGCTTTAGTCAGCATATTTTATCACAGCATCAAAAAAGTCACTAAGATACTATTGTAAATAATATCAATTAAATCCTTTTTCTAACCCAGATGAAAACTAGTTTTAGACAATGACAACATACCTAGAGCACCTGTTGATTTTAACCTATTACTAATCTAAGATTTATTAATTCTAACATCCTGCTAACCCTAATGATTTATATTAAGGTTTCTTCCCTCAAAATACACACATAATCATGTTATCTACAACTAACTATTTCATATCTTCCTTCTTAATCCTTGTACATTTTATTTTCTTTTTCTTGCCTTCACTGGTTAGACATACAACAACGTTAAAAAGATATGGTCAATACAAGCATCTTTTGTCTGATGCTATCTTCTGAAGAGTGTAAATATTAAGCTTGTAAGTAAAGATGAACTTTGAAATGCTTAACTTGTGATAAATTACAGCAAGGACACAAACAAATCTGTTGAGAAGATAGGGAAATGAGTCATAAGCTGACTTTACAGACAAGGTTAATGCTGCAGCAGGTCATTAGAGGGTAAGTACCCATGGACTGTTCACTTTGTTGTGGCAAGGCTAAAAATGAACAGGGCCAACTTAGATGGAACATACCACCTATGTGGACTCGGTACACAGGACTGTAATGTAACACACAGTTTGGGCATATAGTATGCTTTCACGGTCAGTCACTCACTAAGTAGTTACCATTAAGTGAGAATATCTATACTTCTTTTTTTGTTTGTTTTTGGTTTTGGTTTTTGGAGGTAAGGTCTCTCAATTATGAAGCCCTGGCTGTCCTATAATTTGCTATATGGACCAGTCTGGTCTTGAACCTAGAGACCCACTTGCCTCCCAAGTGCTGGGGTTAAAGGCACATACCATCACGCCAGACTACATTTCTTATTTTTAAAGATCAGTTACAATGTTGTCCTTCCTCATTCCTCAAAGGTTAGATGACTGAAAGAATTGATTCCTGTTTTTTGGTTTGTTTGTTCTGAAGACAGGATCTCCCTATATAGCCCTTGCTGGCCTGGAACTCACAGAGATCTGCCTGCTACTGTCTCCCAAGGAGCCCGCCATTTACGGTTTTCACATGTGATTCAGACATACATGCAGGCAAAACATCCATACACAGATTGGGGTGTGGGGGGTGTGGGGGGCGTGGGGAATGTCCAACAATTTTTAAAGGTTTTCTTTTCGTTTTTTTGTCGAGAGGGTTTTCCTGTGTAGCTCTGGCTGTCCTGGAACTTACTCTGTAGACCAGGCTGAAAGACAAGGGCCACCACCCAGCTAGTTTTTATCTTTTTAGTTTTCATTTTGTTCTCCATGACAGCATCATGGGCAAAACCCATGGGCTAAGAACCCACTGGGGGTCGAATGACCCTTTCACAGAGGTTATATATCAGATATCCTGCACATCAGTTATTTACATAAGATTCATAACCGTAGCAATATTACAGTTAGGAAGTAGCAACGACAATCACTTTATGGTTAGGGCTCAGCACAACATGAATAACTGTATTAAAGGGTCGTAGTGTTGGGAAGGTTGAGAACCACTGGTCTAACCTAAGGGACCACTCAGCTGGGGATAGATGAAAAGAGAAAACAGATGGCAGAGCTAAATAGCCAAGCAGCCGTAAGTGGAGTTTTGGGTAGAGAAACTGAGGAGACTAGAGGCTGTGTAAACACAGTGAGGAAACTGGAGCACAGAAGAAAAGGGGAGGCTAGGGAGGAGGAAGGGACACGCAGCAAAGATGAGAGGTGAACTAACCTCTGTACACTCACTCAGAACTACGAAACTTTCTCATCGGAGAAACACTGCATTTTTTATTGTTTTTTGTTTTTTCGAGACAGGGTCTCTCTGTGTTGTTTTGGTGCCTGTCCTGGATCTCACTCTGTAGACCAGGATGCCCTCGAACTCACAGAGATCTGCCTGCCTCTGCCTCCCGAGTGCTGCGTGTGCCACCACCACCAGGCAGAGCGTTGTTTTAATCAGTTGTCCTAAGAGCTTCACTGCAAGCGAAGTCAATCGCTTATGGAAGGGAGATAAGCTGCAGTTTCTTTCTATTTCCCAGGGAAACTCCCTAAATCTCCTCAGTCAAAAAGAGGATTTTCTCTTTGTCCTCTTTTTATGGGATGCAGCCTCTCTGAGACTCAATTTTGTGCAGAAGTACAAGTTCCAATGCCCATTTGCTACCCGCATGCATGGCAAATATAAATCCTTAGCTAATCACACCTGGCAAACCAACTTCAAATCGAGGGCTATGCAGCACCTGTTTACATCACATCTTACTAGAAAATTAGGGATCTGTCTTTTAACCAGAACGCACAGGGCACCAGGTAAAATTTAGCTGTATCTTCCCTGCACTTTGTAGCAGGATGGTTTTAAACATCAATTAGATGACATATTTGTAAAGTCCCTGTTGTTAGCACACAATAAACACACCAGGAAGGCCACTCGACCTTTCCCTCAGCCTACAGGTCCTGATCTGGATCTAACAGGGACCAAGACATCAAAGTAATCACACAACCCAGTTACTTTCCTGAAATCTGGAATAGAAAATTACCAAAAGCTAAGCTATCACCTTAGATATGAACAGAAAAGAAGAGCCCAATTATTCTAGAACAACTAATGCCTACCACTTTAAAAAAAAAAAAATCGCTTACGAATTTAACAATATTTTCTGAAACCATTTATACATTTAAATCCTTCCTCTAGCCTCATAAAATAAGTAAAAAAATGAGTTCCATAAGCATTCAATGTGCTCTTTACATTACACTTCATCTTTGTCTATCCTGAATTCAGATTATAAAAACTGGTCATTTGGAAGGCCAAATAAGAAAATCTACTGAAGACACAAACAAACACCTCCTGCTCAGTGAGGCTTGGTGGACGTTAGTTCGATCTTCAGAGCAGCAGACTCCCAGGAGCTGTGCTCTAACCTCCACATGTGTGCTATCACATGTGCAAGTCTGTTCTTACACACACACACACACACACACACACACACACACACACGCACAAACACAAATCAGAACGGACTTCAGCAGCCCCTTACCTGATGGTCTTGAATCTTCCTGCCCACCACTCTGAATGTGTTGTTGCCTGTATGGTGATATATATGTACTCTGCTGAACCCGGTGGAGCCACCGGCTGGCACCCACTTCTTGTTGGCATCATCATAGACCATTACAGCAGCTCTTGCCTGACAGATACTCTGTTCACTGTAAAAAATAAAGTTCAAATGAGATACTTAAAATATGTGAGGCATGCCACAGAGCCAGGAGCCAAGATTAGCCAACCTGGCAGTCAGTTAAAAAACGAGCAGAGGCTCTTACCCCTACGGGTGGAGTCTAATGGGAAAGACAAACGCCAAGTATAGTAAGGGTGGAGTTTGGGGTCCATAAAAATACAAAAACAAAACAAAACAACCCACCGAAATGTATCAACTTATTATCAAATTGAATAAATCTATCAATACAACTGTAAATTAATCACCACTTGTTTAACTATACGATGGGGACCTGTCTAGAGATTTATTTTCTCCTTGTGGACGGAATTAGTTTTATCGTTAGGATCACTTCAAAATCTCTAACAAATTCAGCCAAAGGAGTATCTGTTCCTCTAAACACAGAGATAAAACTAATAATCAATGGCCAACAACATGACTGACTCCTTTCATTCCCTTTACTCAAGTTAATATCCTACACTTGAACATTTTTTTTTTTCATTTTTCCTTTGAAAAGTGTAAGAGGGAAATGGAGAAAGAGCTCAGGGATTAAGAGAGCTTATTGCTCTTACAGAGACCCCAATTTTGAGTCCTGGTGCCCAGACTTGACAGCTCACAACCACCTGTAATTCCAGCCAGGAGACCCGATGCCTCTGTTTTTCATAGGCACTTACGAGCTTCACACACACACACACACACACACACACACACACACACACACACACACACACACACACACAAACTAAAAGATGATTTCTAAGGATCCTATTAGACTTAAAATCCTCTTCTTCACAGATAATTACTAAAAAAGGAGAAGACCAGAATTTTTGGTTCCTATCTATCCCAATTACTTGCTACTAAGTGATACTGAGACACAAACAGAGACGAGGTCAAGTTCTTACTGAGCAATACATTCATCTTTCAAATTTTCCAATGTTCTTGGGGGAAAACCTGATTAGTTTTCTATTACCTTATTCTATGCTACATTTCTTTCTCAATACCATATACCAAAAGAGAACATAAAAAACAGGCACTGTTGACTACTAACCCAGTTAAACTAACAACCTCTAGGGCAGTGGTTCTCAACCTAAGTGTCATGGCCCCTTTAGGGGTCACATATCAGAGATCCTGCTTTATCAGATATTTACATTACAATTTACAACAGTAGCAAAATTACAGTTACGAAGTAGCAACAAACTAATTGTGGTGTGGGGGTCACCACAACATGAGGAACTGTATTAAAGAGCCACAGCATTAGGGAGGTTGAGAACCACTGGTCTAGAGGAAGAAGCCTACTTTTGAGTGGTTAATACAGATGCTCCTAAATAGTTCATGCACTCCCCATCCCATTTGTAATACAAGTACTTGGTTCCGTCTACCACTTCCTGCCTCAAGAGATCTCAGACAACACACTGTGGTTTTCCGCAAGGCCCTCAGAAATAGTTCCCCACACTCCTGCCTTACTCATGCTTCTTCTCTCCATCCACCCAAGAGGACAATGAGCACAGCGTTGCGGGCGGGTTTGTGATCCTGATGACAAGATCATGGAAGACCTACAGAAATCACTTCCCTGAATAATCAGTTTGCTTCAGAGAAATTAGTTATAATTATTTTAATTTCCTATTGAGGAAATTCTACAAAACCGAAGCTACATGTAAGCAGCAATGCCATAGTAAGTCCTTGGGTGACATCTCAACTGTTACGCTGCCTAGAAATTTTCTGGGACTAGAAACAGTCAATGACTGAAGCCTGAATTGCTTGTTTTTTTTAAAAGAGCATTACTTAAAGGTATTTGTCAGTACAGAGGTTGAAAACTTATTCCTCACAAGAGAAACACATACTAAGTGACAACTTTCATCTAAGTATAGCAAAGATGATTGAAATAAGCAAAAGTCAGTGCTTCTTGCAGCTTAGGGATTACAACTACAGAAATAAATATACTATGAAATAAAAAAAGATAAACCTGTAAATTAATGCAAAACTAAATCTTTCAGTGTTCAAAAATTAGTACTGGCCAGGCACAGTGACACAAGCCTTTAATTCTGGCACTTGAGAGGCATAGGTAGATGTATCTCTGTGAGTTTAAGGCCAGCCAGGGTGGTAAAACAAGACTCCTTTAAAACAAGCAAACAAACAAATAAATAAATGGCAATCCAGGAGGCCATTAAAACTTGATGACTTGAATTAGATGCAATAGCACACACCTGTAACTCTAGCAATCTATGGGAGACAGGAAACGACAGGAGACTCACAAAGGCTCATAGACTAGCTAGCATATATCTACCTACTCTGACCACAGATGCTACACACAAATTAAGCCAGTGGTAATCAAGTTTTTAATTTTATAGACCTACAAATCTAAAAAAGATTGGGTGAATCAATACAGAACAGGATGTTAATATTTTGGTCTATTAGCCATTTTGGTAGATAAAAAACTATAGGGGGGAAGACCATCACAAGTTATTAAAATGAAACAATGAAATAGGAATAGAAGAGATGGAGAAATAGAACAGTAGTTAATAGAACAGCTGCTCTTCCAGAGGACCCTGATTCAATTCCCAGTACCCACATGATGGCTCACAACTGTCTGTAAATCCAGTCCCAGGAAATTTGGCCTCTGCAGGTACCAGGCACATATGTGGTACACACATATATGCAGGCAAAACACCCATACACATTACAAAAAACAAAACTTAAAATGATCACATGTAGTAACTTTAGTTTTATAGACATTACATTATTCATGTTTGTCTTTTCCCCCTCCACTTTATTTTAGTTCAGTGAAATCGTCAATGATTGGCTTTAAAATAAGACAGCTCTGTGAGGTACCTGTAATCCAAACACCCAGGAGGCTGAGAGCAGAAAGATCCAAAATTCAAAACCAGCCGGGTCATAGAGAAAAACCCTTAGCTAATTATGGTTGTTCTCAGCCACATAGAAAGTACTGTGGGTATATATGCAAGAACAGAGCATTGCATCTTTATACGCACCATGACAAGCCTCAAAATAAAACACATCAAAATCTTCACATTTCTGAATCAGTGAAACAATTATGAAAAAGATTAAATAAGTAAAGTACTAAACTGTAGTTTTATGAAGATTAGATACTAAATTAGCCATAAACAAAACCCACATTCTTATGGTGCAATTTAATTAGTGTAAAGAGTTGACTATACTCCATGTTCCTGATGATAATTTTGGTATTTTCCAATGAAATATGGCATTAAAAAGCTAAAGATTGCTGGTTTACCCACCCACACACATATACACACACATACATACACAAAGTGTAAAGAAACACAATATTACTTTATGTATAATTTTGTAGCTTAGTCAGTTCATTTCTGAATATATTCCTGAACAAGTAGGTATATATAATGGGTAGAGAATGCTCGTCAAAAACAGGCACCAGTAAATAAATGTTTATATTTAAGGGGAAAAAAGAACTTATTCTTGTATATACTATTTATGATAATGCAGTAAAGCAGTCTTTAACAAACAGCAATTCCCTTTCAAAGACACCACCTACTAATCATTTGTTAAAATATGAATATTCCAGTGCCTCACACACAGTAAGTACTCTTTAAACACTATTCAGTAAATAATCACATCTCACAAAACCTGACTTATCAAAAACCTGAACCAAATACTTTTTCTTTTGTTAAGTCTTCCTAGGGTCCCCAAAGCCATCATTAATTTCTTCCTTTTGCGTTCTCCTAGTGCGATTCTCTGGTGAGGTAGCATTTTAGCCACAGGTAGGAAATGGTAAAATACTAGTGGGCTTAAAGTAGAGCATGACTTACATTTTTCAAAAACATAACAGGCTACCATGAGCTAAAGAGAGATGGGAATTCAGAATACCTGCAAGAATATTAGACTAGAAAACAGGAGAAAAACATGTGGAATGTCTGAAGTATAACACAAAGGATAAAAACTATGGATATAACTAGCATGTTACTAATGTTCCTGCTTTAAAGGGGGGGAGGGGCATTGTTTTGATCTGAGCTTCTTCACTAGGTTCCAAGACCAGTTCAGACTAAAATGGAGTCATCAATGCTGAATGCCATACAATCAAATTGAAGCTTTGAATAGATAGATCCTCTACTTAAAGAGGTTCCAAACAAAGCAGCTATTTCTGTGCTCCCCACCCCCACCTAAAAAAGAGGTCCACTTGAGTCAGAGTAATCCATAAATCCCAAGTTCCTGCAGCAAAAATGTAACTGATGGTAATGAGCCTATACCCCCCCACCATTATTGTTATTTGTTCCCACCTTACAAAACCCAAAACCTATTTTTTGTTTTTTCGAGACAGGGTTTCTCTGTGTTGTTTTGGTCCCTGTTCTGGATCTCACTCTGTAGACCAGGCTGGCCTGGAACTCACCGAGATCCTCCTGGTTCTGCCTCTCAAGCGCTGGGATTAAAGGTGTGCGCCACCGCCACCGCCCGGCCCAAAGCCCATTTTTAACTCCTACTGCTCAGAAGGAGCTCACTCATGAGTATATACAAAGGCCCATTAGATATATGAGGTGAAGTTTTTGTTAATTTCTTACAGCTCCTCACCGCCCAAGAAATGACTACTCACCAGACTCCTGGGGGAATGCACAAGAGGGGCTAACGGTCCCGGTTGTGTGCCCTGCCTTCCTCATGGAGCACCACTGACTAGACAGAGTTCTTTCCACTGGTCTTTGCTCCTGTTTCCTCAAGTCATGTCTCCCTTCAAGTTCACAGGTGTCCAAACCCATGGTTGGTTTGTACTGTGGGCGTGTAAACGACCTTTGGGGCTCTGCAGTAACTGAAAAGTCAGTGTCACGAACTGTAGCTTTACAATTAACTGTCAACAGATGTAGTAAGTGACAGGACAGCTGAGAGCCTAAACTCTGGCTCTTCAAATAGGGAAGAACACCCCCTACCACCACCCCAGCTCTCTGGAACAGGAATCACTGGCTAGCTGATCATGGGAGTTGCAGGGCCAAAGCCACAACTTAACTGGTGGGC